TCAACACCTCCGAAGATCCTTCCATCTCCACAAGCTGTGTCGACTCACCCAGTGCGACTTCGGGTGTACTCACAATTGAGGCAACTGTCTTTTCTACGCTGCTATCCGACACTTTAGCTGCCACCAACCCTCAATTCGCCTTCTTCTTTGGTCTCGAGCGAGTTCTTGACTGCCTGATTACGTCTAATACTGTTTCAGTTCTTCTCACTTCGAGTGCCAAATCTCCCTCGTCATCACTCACTACTTTCCTTCACTTCGCCAATCGTCTCTCTGGCTTCTCTCGTCTCCGCACAACGTCCATCTAAACTGGTCCTTGGGCTGTCGTCTGTGGTGGAATTGAGGGTTGACGGGTATCGTCTTTGGTTCCTTCACTAGACTCGGCCGTCAAGATTTTCCACTGCCTCGGAAATCGTAAAGAACTCCTCTCTCGTAAGCAACCCCATGCCTCGGTAGAAATTCACAAGGAAGGGAGTGAGATGATTGACCAATGGTCCCGTCCACCTAGAGCTCGCAATTACCCAGACAAGATCGTAAAAGATCCTTGCTCAGTGAACTTCCTGTCCCTTCAAGATTCGTTCGAAGAACCCTACCTGCCAAGCCGTCACATACGTCGTGCGCGCTGGTCGCAAGATGTGCATAATTCCCAGTGCAATTGCCCTTCTCTTCGGATCTATGTAATCCGCTATCTTCCACCTGTTTGTCCCCTGCCTCCCGGAATTTAAGAGTGGTCCGTAAGAGAATTCTTCAATGCGCGTAAGTCCCACGCTACTCTTCTCAAACAAAAGATCTCCGTTGGTACCTGTGCACGGTCCCATCACCTTCGTCCAATGCTCAATTGTCCACAGCATGGGATTACCTCGAAGCTCCACGCCATCGGTCGCGTTTTTATCCACTATCTCCTTATAGATACTTGACAAGACGCAATTCCAATTCCATATGAGGAAATCAAGTAGCAATTCGCTCAGCTCGCGTCTGAAGGGTCGCAATTCTTCGTAGGGCACCTTCAAGGGAACCAATTTCAGCACCTTATCATTCTTCTTGGGCGCCATGTCTTCGATTTGCGTCTTCGCTGCTAGCAAGGTCGGTCGATTTCGCTCTCTCTCACTCTCGCTCGTTCTAGCTCGATATCGCAATGTCGGCGCAAAGGCTCCTCGTACTACCCTTACCCTTGAAGCCCTAACATTGCCCCCTTCCTAACCTAGTAGGATTTCCGACGCGTGCTGCAACCTCCGGGCTGACTCTCACTCAGCTTTACCTCAGATGGCTTTTCGGTAGCTCATCATGATTCTAGAAGACTAGGATTCCGCATCATACTCATAACCTAAACAACCTCTCACACAATCTTTCAAGGTATCACTCCAACTCATACACTCATCGACACTCCAAGGTACTGAAAATTCATCACTCTTTCATATATGAAACAAGTCTCTACATATGAACTCTCCAAACTTGCTTGAGAGGCTCTTCCCTACCTCTCTATATATACTACTTGAGAATTTACCATAGTAACAAATGGTAATTTCTATCTAACTTACTTTTACGAAGATAAATCTTAGTAAAGTTGACTAGTTATCAATATGTGGCAACATGCCATTGGCCTCCTAAAACTTCTAGATGTTTACTAATCCCTAGATTGAGATGGCGACATGCCATTTGTGCCTTTCCAACTTCTAGAACTTCCACTTTCCACTAAGTCAACATTAGATTTAGTCTAACCAATGGAATACTCTTTAATTTAGTCAAACCAATCAAAACTAAACATGAAGTTCAAAAGTCTTTTCTCTTGGAATCTAGACTTTTGTACAAGACGAAATAGAAGTGCTCACTCAAATCTTCTAGAACTTCTCTAGTTATTCCGCCAAGTATAGACATTATAACTAAACTAGCTAGATTTAGTCATAACTATCATAACCATGATTAACTCCTTGGCTAATTCTAGTTTTAATTCACACATGCAATATCTGATCTTACAGTGCAAACTTCGTCCGGCCTGTTGCACGATTTGAAGTTGAATCCTATGTCTTCGCCGAAGACGCAACTCTTATAATGTTCGGAAAAGGCTGCGCCGAAGAGTCGAATACCTGAAGATCTTCGGCCGTAGGCAAATTCTAACTAATCCTATCATAACTCCTCAAAAGCTAGTCATTCTAACTCGTACGAATACTTTCTACATAAATATCTTTCAGTTTTGTTGATTTTTAAAGAAAAACGAAAAAACTAGGCACCACACACATGTTCAAAAGGAGAGGAGTTGTTCCACAACACATCACTGCACATTGAAACGATTGATCAAAAATCAGATGCGGAAGCACACACATGTGTCAGTCTGTACACAAATCACTGTCTCCTCCGCTAGGAAGGGTCTAATTCTCTCTAAGAATTGTAGCAAACGACGCCGCAAATTTTATAAGAAAAGTGTTCTGAGCATCTCAATCTGAGATAAAGAATTCTGACAATCTAAAACAAAGGAGATTTGAGCATAAATTGGAGAACGAGGTCGGGAGGAATGACATTAATTGAGTCATCTGAGGGCTCGGAGAGTCTTTGTCAAACGATGCAGCGGTGGAATGAGAATGTGGTAAGATTTTATCTTCCCAAAGCCGGCAATTGTCCGGCGTGCTACTGCTCGTGCTGACTTGGCTTGCATCATTCGCTTGGTCTTCGGGGCTTTGGCTTGTCTTGCCTCAAGCCAGGCCGGGATCACGTTGCTTTTCATCGCGCCGACACGTGTCTCACCTCAATTGTCCATGTGTCGAATTTGAATAGCAAAAAGTTCTCGCTCGACGGGTGACTTCTTGACAACGACGGTGACAAAGGAGAGACCGTCTTGACGGTAACCGTATGCTGTCAACCCAAAATCATACGATCGAGATTGTTCTAGCCTACAATCTAAGTAAGTATCAAGATGAAGCAATTCTATTAACTTGATAGAATGCTACATAATGAGCAACATATTCCGGCTCTAGTGCGATATGGCAACTCAAGTAACAATATCAGGTCGAATAGAAGTCCCTCTTGGACCAGTCAAAATTACTGCAAGAACGGAAAATATACAAAACCCTCCATATCCAAGGAAGATTTTGCCAATCGCCCCCCCCCCCTCCCCCCCCCCCTTGAGTAGGGCCGGGTGTGATTTGGGACACGATGAATCGTGCGTGCCCCGATCGGCAAAGGATCACCGGAGTTTTTGATGATATACTACACTCAACAAATCAAACTCTAACATAACTAAGTTTTAAAATGGTGAAGTACATGATTGTGGTGTTTGAGCATTTAATGATGTTACAACACCATCTCCTATACTAGATCTAGCATCAAAGTATTGCAAGTCATGCATGATTCTTCAACAGTTATCCAGAATTTTATTATGGACAAATAGTATGTTTGTTTCATTCCGAAATGAAGCAAATTCTTATAAACATGTTTACATGCAAAATTGGGTAAGTGTACTATATATAAATTTATTACACGACTAAATTTGTGCTATAAAGCCTCTTATTTATCTTAAAACCTACATTCAAATGAAGTGAATTTTGTGAATTCTATTTAATATAAAAGAATGACAGAGATGATGCAGCAAAAAATCATTATACATAATTTGGAAAAAGAAAATACATTAGAATGACCTTATCTAACAAATGTATGTGTGATGTAAAAATTACAAGCACTATATTTGCATTTTTGGGCAAAATATCGCTTTTGTTATGACACTTTTCTTGTTTTTGCAGTTGCGGTATTCGAGAAAGTCATTTTGAAATCTACAAATTGATACAAATACAGTGAGGAATAGCTCTCTATATAGCCATTCCGCTAGTTACTAATTGAACCCGTATTGAAAAGTTAAGCTTATTTTCCATTCAGTCTCAACATTCGACAAAGTGTAATATCAGGTTCTCGTAACATACTCTCACTCGCGTTACCCTCAGCGTTACCCTCAGAATAGTGGGCACTGACATCGGAGTAGGCACGGAGATCCTTATCCTCTCCACATTCAAATTCTCGCGGATTTTCAAGCGTCCTTGAGCATTGATTTGATCCTTTCATATGTTGGCGTTTGTAGCAAGCTTGTATTTTGGAATTTGCACTTCGCCTTTGGCATTTCGGCAATTTTTTGTTTAGGTTACAAACTTTGTCTTCGGCTTTGCATTTCTGTAATTCTGTTTTCGCACTATGACTTTGATGACTCGTCGCTTTTTTACTTCGGCTCTTTTCCATTTCCACATTTTGGCTTTTCAAGTTCGGCGCTTCAGTAGTTTGACTGTTTGGCACTTCAACACTTTAATCCTTCGGAAAAAATGGCGCTTTTGCGCTTCAAGAATTTTGTGATTTATCTATGTCACATACCTATATTTGAATCTTCAAACATTGTTCATTTAAACTTCTTTCATTTCCTACACTTCCTACATTTCTTCTTTTCATCATCTTGGCACCTAAATATAAATCATTCTGTATAGCATTAAAATGGATTGTCATAGAGCATCAACTATTTTTTTCGTATCATGTTTGTCGAAGATGTGCATATGATTTGTGAACTACGAGTTAGTTTTCACTCATCTATATCTTTAATTACTTTTTGATAGCTCATTATATATATTTACTATATATAATATGTGTTATATACAACAATTAACTGTTTTTTAATAGTTGCACATGAGAAGTTCTCTTCACTCATCACTTCATTTCAACACTCATGAACATTTAAAGTATTTTGCAAAATATACTCTTCATGAATGACATACTTATTACCTCGCAAATTGTTACCCGATTTGCTTGCAAGTTGATACTCTACCTCTCTACCGGATGCAAGTGAGATTTCATACATGCCGTGAAACTCTCTGCATTGATTTGATCATTTGAGTAATATAACTCTTTACCCACACATGAGAGATCACCACTCGAATGGATGACCTATCTAAGATACACCTCCGTTTGTTAGAGAATGTTTGCATACAAACAATAAGATGAGCTTTTGCAATCGGGTCACGTGCTTTCAAAACCTCCTTAAATAAAGCAAATTTCTCTTTTAGTTATGTTCATGATCGGTGTCGAGATGGATCACGATGAGATTGTCATTATTTACGTTTTTTAAATACAGAATACTAATGCTAAAATCTACTCTAAGGAATGACATTTCAACCACTTTGTCCTATAACAGTAGAACTCGTCTCTAACAACAATTCGAGATTGCACTAAACTGCACTAGTTGCATACGACATGTAAGTGGCTCTAGTTGTTACATATGATCATGCAGGCACCCACCTAATTCTAGATGCCGGAACAGAAGCCTTCTAAGAAGGTCTCTTTTGTGACTCCATTGGCAGATTAATCAATAGAATAGTAAACCCACCATGGTAATAACACCTGCCTACATACTAGACGTAAGGCTATGCGGCAATTAGAATTCTTTAGTACCTCGAAACGGGACTCTCTTATGAAAGAAGACAACTTGGCAAAAGCAAGGGCCATGAGCTCCTCTATTGCACCCAAACAAGTCAGGGGAAACACATCACTGCGTGTAGAAACGTCAGCGAGGAATGTCTTCCTGCGTCATAGAACCATATCAGCACTTCAACCTGTTGTCTCGCATGTTTCGTCTCAGACGCGTGTGTTGATTGTAAGTATGCCGGGACAGGATGCTTAGTTTTACTTCAGGCGCCAGGAAAGCCTCTTTTTGAGAGAGGAGTATATGACAGGGCACTGATCGACTTTCCTTCTTGCTGCAAGTTCTTGAACTTTCTTCTCGACCTTCTTGAAGATATCCTGCACATCCGTCGTTTGGTATGACAGACTAATGTGATAGGTCAACTCAATTATGAAAAATGTACCTTTTTCGTAACCTGTTTCTGCTCTATAGGACTGGGTGTTCAGTTTGCAAGAATACATGAGCAAACAATCCTCTTTGCCTTCAAGATCATTCTGTTCCTGACTATTACTGCTCGTAGGTTCAGTCCCTCCACGGATTTCACGACAAGAATTCACCACAAACACCTTCGGCTTCCCTGCTAGAAGGTCGCAGTCACTGATGGGCTTCAATATCTTAGAAAGAAGTTCGATACGATCGCCCTCGTTGTCATGAATGAAGTGTATTCCATCTAAAACCTCTCCGTGAGCATCCACACAACAAACGATACATTCATCTGTTTCATTCACCCCTGCCAGTATTTCTTCAAGCTTATGTTGTATCTTACTTGCTTTTATGTCTATAACCGGCACAAAATCAAAATGGAGATAATCCGCCATGCTTTCCACTCGGTACCGGTCAGCCTCACTACCATCCCTTTTCTTCTCCATGCCAATCAGAAGAGCAATGCCTCTCCTCTTCTTTCGCCTAACATTCATGTTCGCGTACTGTGCCTGTCAATGCCAGCAAAGATGACACCTCGTTAAGTCAAACCTATCTTCTTTCCTGCTCACATCATCAGGAATCTGCATAATGGAACAACTTCGCGGTTATTCTAGTTCCCAAGATTATCATTATTACGCTCTGTTTAATCAACACCCTGATCCTTTCACTTCATGCCTGAATTTTAATGTACATACTAGGACCACCCACTAGATCTTGTACTCGATGGCCGGGTTTTGTAAAAGGATAATTGGACGAGGATTCAACTGCCCTCTTCCCCTCTCATTTCGTGGTATGTATTTGAATCTTACCTCATTCATTGTGGTATGGATAAAATGCACAAGATACTGGAAGCAGTTTGAAGTAGGACTCTTTGGTTTACATAAAGATAAGTGATCGGCTGCAATAGGGAAGAACGAGTTGCGCTGTATCCCATTACTTGCAGAAAACTCGTCAACAATAATGCTCTTGCGAGAGCCCTGATCAACGACAAAGTTCAAGTCAGTGCAGTATAGTATAACGTCAGCTCGTTACATAACGGATACCAATGACAGAAAGACAGACATCGACAGACACTTCACGGGTGGTACAATGAACAACTATTGTTAAGCAAAAGATTGGCCAGATTAACGTCACCTGTTGCGTTGGATGAGTTTCACCTAGAGCCAACTCTTTCCAACCGAAGCTTGAAACGCATCGCATATAGCCAGAGTTCAGCCTTCCGACAGCTCTGCCCGACCAAAATCTAGGTTCAGAGGGGTTTGCACTACCTTTCTTCTCACCGGCCCCAACACTCAGCCTTGAGGTTTCTGATTGCGTGTAGGCAGAATGTGGAGTTCCATAAAATGCTATGCCCCTTACACTTCCCAAAAACTCCTGTAAGCGTTTGGAGTTTTCGTCCTTTCCAATCTTATTTACAACAAAACTGCAGAACTCTTTGATGACAAGACCTCCAACACAATGTCCAACTAATATCATTGGGCACCACCCATAACTTCTGCTGAGAATAAGAGTTGTAATCAAGTTCTCGCTAATGAGCTCTGGATCAATCTCGGCCAAATCGTAGGACACAGTCCATATACGTGCTTCCGGGAATGCTTCTGGAAGCCAATCTTCCAGCCAGCAGTGTTCGCTATCTTCAGTCATCCAAGTCGCCTTATAGCCATCCTTACCTTGTGGTCCGGGGAAAAATAATAGCTCCATCTTCACCTCAGCCTTAGGTCGGTAGATCTCGTGCAAGGAATCATTCAGCTGATAGATAAGAGAAAGTGGATGTTATTGTTCGAGGATGTAGACTAACACCAATACCGAAATCAACCTCATCACCAAGTCATGGTTTGATACGTGCAAGGAAGAGCATATATACGCAGCTACCTTAGATACCTGTATTGCAATTCTCTATAATGTTAGCTGCAAAAGACATAGTTGTCAAAACATACAGATTACATATCTTCTGCATACCTGATCATATTTCACTCGAGGCAACGTTGGGCATGTATGGATCTTGACCGGAGCTTCCTGTGACTATCAGAAACCAAAAGCTGCAATCAGTTGTGAGCATGAAGGCTCACTTACGTTATCTCAAGGGGTGACAATACAGATAATAAGAGGAAGGAAAACTGAAGAATCTGTGCGTAGCAGCCCGTGAGTTGTTTGCCACACGTCAATCGCAGCTTAGTTTCTTGATGCACTCACATGTGGTAGTTTCGTCTTACTAACGACATCAGCAACGAACCCTTCCAATTGATCCAACGGCTGTTCCAACTGTCTACGCCCACTCGAGGCCTTCCCAGAATGGTCAGCATCAACACAAAAGAATCTTCCTTGTCCTCGTCTTGCGGATTCCTCCTGAACGACCTGAAGACCTGAATTGGAGAGTTTCACGGAAGACCATACCTTCAGACGAAAATTTCAGCATCATCAGCTCTTTTATCAGTTGCTTCCAAAAAATTTGAGAGATCACATGCATCTTCGCATACAATCATTTCCAATGAAATCGATATTCAACATTCGCTTTCCCTTTACGTGTAAAATACAGAGCTAGTAAACAGATTTTGATAGTGACATCTCACGGCTTGCCTCACCAATGTCTTCCTGAAGTACCAGCAACTAAAGGGCTCCCATTCTCTTTCAGTAGCAAGAGACTCGAAATTGCTGTTCAGGTGTCCCAACGAGGCAGAGGACGAGTCCAGATATTCGAGGACAGGACCATCACATTTCTCCTTTTTTTTCAGATATTTGGCCAAATCGGTACCGGCGTGTGGAGTGTCGAGGAAAACATTAGCCCGAACATTTGTCAAGAACTGATCCAATCTGCCTTTGCTGGCACCGTCTGGTGAGTAATCAAGCTGCCTCTCTGCTTCAGTACACAGTTGTTTGATGACAAGACCTCCCAGGCAGTACCCAACGAGCACTACAGGACGATTTCGCTGACCCACTTTGGCCAAATGTATCAAGTCCTGCACAAGAATTATGCCCAGATTGCTGAAACTCATCCTCCCCGCTCGATCGGATACTCTGGCACAAGAGTCGTAGGAAACGGCCAGAATCCGTGCTCCAGGAAATGTTTTGGGAACCAAATCCCTGAGCCAACATCTGGTACCTTCGATCCCGTCTTCCACCCTCCATGTAGTCTCGTACGCATCGGCATACTCAGAGAAACAAAGTCCGTGAAAGAAAACGAGCTCCACATCAAAGTCCCCATCAGGGGTTTGAAACTCGTATACTGAATCGCTGAGCTATTCAAAGCAAAACGCATCACACGTCAGTGCACAAACCGTAATCTTCTTCAAACTCGACCCAGCAGGCTGCAGTTTCTCTACATGAATAAGCGACAACGGCATTCCACGCGCAGGCTAATGGAGGCATTTGCTATTTGTCCATGCACAGAATCGGGTCACATTTTGACTCAATGATCTCAAAGTTCGCACACCTGTCGCTTCATTTTCGTCTCGAGCCCTCAAGGTAAGTAAAACAAAACATGCCTGCCGATCCGGGATCACAAGGTGCGAATTTTCTTCATACGCGTCGTACTTTTGCACTGCTAGTTTCTGCAGATCCTCTTGAGCATTTTCCAGAATTCAGCTCATGGATTGCAGGACAACTCTGGCCTGTGAACAGCAAACTCCTCACGTAGGTCGGGAGGTCTTCTCCGCGTACTACGTCACCTTCGACAGCTTCACATCAAGCGCACATGGTTCGGTCCTTATCTCCTACCATTTCACTTTACTGTACACACTCTGTATTTATGTGATTTACATTATTTTCGGCATTTAATTTTTAACTCTTCAAAGCATTTTGATTGTCATTATAAAGTTTCCCAATGTGATAAGTTATTTCATCTTTCTAGCAATTTTTTTAAATCAAATTGCATAATTTGTTTCTTTCTTCATATGCTACAAATTCAACACCTGTAATTGATAAAACTACAAATTTTTTTGTTTCAAAATTATTAATTAAAAAACCCTAAAAACTAATTTTGTATGAAACAAAATAATGCATTGTTATTGCTACAAATGATATGGAAATTATCAATAAAAAATGCTCAAAGTGTTAAAAGATTAATATGACTTTGAGAACAAATATGTTGATACAAAAAGTTTTCAAAGATTAAAAAAATTAAATTTACAAAATAACACAAAGTGATAATAAATCATTAATAAGAAATTGTAAAAAATTAATATTATAAAGTGTCTCAAAATGATGAAAAAATATCAGATTTTAATCCCTAAATATAGTACAAATCATGAGTACAACAAATGTCGAAAGAATATTGACAATTTATATAAGCTTATTTTTTAAACTAATTAAAAAATTTTATTTGAAATTTTAGAACTGGAAAGAGGTTCAAGAATGTTTATGGAAATAACGCTCAACAGCTCATGTTGACTTCATGTGATTGTTAGTGAGGTGTGAAAGTAAACGTGTACAAACATCAATGAATAGTTTTGATGTGCAAAGAGTATCAAGGAGGATTCATTATTCAACAATATGGAACGTGGACTGGATCACAATATGAAAGTTTGATATATAATAAGTATATAGAGTTGTTAAAAAATAGTACTCAATTGTTAGTAGATTATGATGAAAAACTGCAAGCAGAAAAAGATTGTGGAAAGTTAGATGTGAATCAAGTTGAACAAGATTCAATGATAGAATAGAGGTTTATTGAGAGAAACATTTGTGTTGAAAAATCAAGAGAAGTTTGGTTACAAATAGAAAAAATTGGAATTTAATACTAATAGCATAGCGCATAGCACTTTAGCTCTGATGAATAGGTCTTTGCATGACTTGAAAGTTCAATATCAGTGTCTATTAAAAATAGGGAAGTGTACGGTCACAACAGCCGACATGTTCATCAGGCCAAATGGCTTGACATTGAAAAGAAAGTTAGAAATTGTTGACAAGTATCATGGCGCAAAGAGAAGCAATTCAATTGTGAAAAACGTTTTGAAGAAAATATATCGTTTGATACAATCTAGAAATTTTTTGGTAAGTGATTTTAATATGCATTGAATTGGATTGTTTATAGTATATTTAGATGTATGTATTAGTTTTGTCTTTGAGTTTATTCTTATATTTATTGCAACTAATATGTTATCACTTGTGAAAACTTACAAGATTTGGATCACACATCAGAGTATCAAAAATAAAAGGTGTTATTAGTGATGACAATATTCTTCCTGATGTTATTCTAGAAGTTCAAGGAAAAAAAATAAAATTAGTGAGCAATTGTTCAGAAGTAACACTCGACTTCATGAAAAACATAAAAGTAGGAAACCACAAACTGATTTGAATAGAATATCTTTGCATGCGATTACATTTCTCATGCCAAAACATCTAGGTAGAGAGCTTTCTGCTGACACAAATATGATTGATCTAAATGATGATCAACTGTAGTGAATTGACTGATAATTAGATTTCATGGTGCTGGATCAAAGCTTCTTCTTTTTAGAAACAAATGTGATTCTGGATAGTGAGAATTGTTCCGTGAGAACTTGTCATTAGTTGTGAACTAAAGTTGAGGAAGAGCATTTGCATTCTAAAAAGTCAATGAAGATATAGTTCTATTTGTTTATAATTTATCTATCTATGCCGTTGTGCATCAATGACCTAATGTGTAGTTTGATTATATAGTTTGAGTTCCTAGTACAAGCTTGTGAGTGCATTTCTTCTACCCTTTTGTCTTGAATATTTCCAACCTTGCCCTTTTCCTCACTGGGCAAGGTACTGCAAGCTTGTGAGGGCATTTCTTCTGCCCTTTTCTCTCTAATATTTACGACCTTGCCCTTTTCCTCAATGGGCAAGCTACTGCAAGCTTGTGAGGGCATTTCTTCTGCCCTTTTCTCTCTAATATTTTTGACCTTGCCCTTTTCCTCCGTGTGCAAGGTCGTGCAGACAGTCTACCCGCACTGGAAACCCCTTGCTTTCAAAAGGAGAGTATTCTGACTTGCGAGCTGATCTTGTTGTATGTATAATGTCATGGATTGAGCTTGACCTTCCTAGGGCGGGTTTAGCTGCACAAACTTATACATAGCCCCTATATAGGGCCTTCATAGACCCAGGCAGGTGTCATCCTGCAGTGACCCGTGACGGAAGTTCTTCTTTTCGCTGCGACTCTCCTCTTTTGGACCAAAGATGGAAGAATGTGCGGGCAGGCTAACCGGGCAGGTTTTTCATTGGCACTCAATTTTCCGGTGGAGCATCAAAGTGATTGAATTAGATCGCTCCGCTTTCCAGCAGACGGATCTAACGATGGACTATAAGAACACTTTGCGGGGAGGGTCGGCGGACCATACATTCCGGCAATCATGTAGATGCCCTCAACCGGAATGAATGACTCATCTGAAAATGGCAGGAATGGGCAAACTATCTTCCTCTGTATACTGGTATAGAACAAATTTATGCACTGAAGAGGACGATATTTGATTCGACTCTAGCAACATCAAGACGTGCTGATGGTCAAACCAAAACAACTCGCATATACAAGAGACTATTCTTGAAGTGTTGTACTTAAAGCTACAAAAGAAAAAACGCACTTGAGATTCTTGGTTAAGTCCGTAACACTCATGATCAGTAAGTCATGAATTGAGGGTATCTTCTGTAAGAAGATTTTCATTGCCAAGAAGAACTTGCAAAGCCCATAATTTATGAGCATACGAGGAGTTTGTAGAACTGGTTATTTGAGAGGTCAAAAGTTTGGACCTCAGATGGATCAGATCATTCCGAGTGAAATTTACAGCAGAAAAAATATGAGATTCATGCCCTACACGTATTACTGGGCCAGTCACACTCTGTCTAGAAAACTGGTAATAAGGAGGCGTGCAGAATTTAATATCTTGACGGATCCTCTCTATCTGGTTACATTCATTTCAGTTTCAGTATGATCTACAGCAGAGTATTAATTATGTCACAGGTAAAGTTCAACATTACGGTACATGGAGACCTGACAACAACGTTCCAAATCTGATTAGAATTTTTCTTCTTTGATAATCTTCGAGGGCTCTTGCTCATTTTCTGAACGGAAGGAAGATATGTCGGTGAACCAGACTCTTACTAAAAGGATGCCTGAGACGTGTTTGAGCTTAGTCTATTCTTATGTCTAGATATAAGAGATAGTGACAATCTTTTAAGTTCTTGACACATTTTCTGATCTATGGTAACATTTATACAAACTGTACCCGTTGATATGAACCTGCTATGACCTGAAGACCATAGACCCCTCGCCCTAGCTGAGCAAGTGCTACTTCACGTCTCTCAAGAGTATAGATCATCTATTAAATTCCACAGTACCGAGTGTTGAATCTAAACTATTGATTCCAATTTCGGGTATATGAGCGTTTCAAGCGTACACGGAATCGTATGTAACAAGTTCAGATATTTACCTGGACCTCATATGAGCAACAGATCTTGCTCCTTTAAATGAATGGAGGGTAAATACATTTCCTTCACACGACGACGGAGAGAAGAGCACCTACAAGTGATATGAAAATGTGACATATTAAGGAGTTTTACCAAGCTATGCATGTTTCCTTTCTCAGTTGTCAGGTTCAGTGATCAAGTTACATTGCGATACAAAGCAGAATCGCAATCGAAGTTTGATCTAAATCTATGAAAAAATTCAAACATCAATTAAAACTAGTCGGAACATTCAGTAAGTTTCTTCATCCGATAGCAGTTAATACAAAATGAGCTATATGTTTCACAATTACATCTCACATCTTTGCGTTTATAAACAAATAGAAATACGCGGGGGATATTGTTTGAACAAGAAATGACTTTTTATGGAGAAGGTAGTACCGATTCCTTTTCTTTGTATCTCTTATCATTGAGCTAGATTTGTTGGGTATGTTTCTCTCCCTTTCATGTGACCCTATATTTTTGCTTTCGACCTGTGTGCCACCATGTAGATTGACTATCTTCTAACTTACAGCTTCCATGAACCAAACTGGTACTAAAAACCACGCTGACATCTTACAATACAAAAAGATTTAAAATTACCCTCTAAGGCTTCAAATTCATAATTCAAATAAGTCTGAGACTGTAGAAAAATCCGAGTGTATAGAAAAGTTAATGTGTAGTGCACGATGTAGCTCTATTCCAATTTTGTTCCGATACAAAAACTCTAAAGCTGCGAACTGTCAACTGAAAGCACAGTCAAACTTCCAGAAAGTGATGAGTGCGTACTAAAGCCACTGCATACATGATCTGCAAAACTTTTGCTACAGCTCATCATCCTCAGTCGACTGAGGATGACTTCGTGGAATATAAACAGCATAATTTGGAGGTGTTCTCTCTCATTTGCAATTGCAAGGGTTGCATGAGGACTTGTCATCGCACTTGCATCCTTCGTTGGCACCATAAAAGCTGTATCAGAAAAAGCAAAATTATAATCAGATACTGATCTACCGTTTCAGAATCCAAGAACGGTGATTTTATGAATACGTTAAGGATAACCATACGTTAAGGATCCAGTTCAGACTGACATCAGCAGATTTTGAGTTCCAGAATGAAGCAACTACACTACCATGGTTACTGAAGCAAAAGCATAGCGATCTGAAACACCGATTCAAAATACATATAATTATCCGCATCCTCTTCGAAAGTAGGACAAGTACACCAACTACAAGGAAGAAATGAGGAGAAAAAACCCCATACCACTTCTTTCGAGCCACATTGGAGCCTATGTAGGTAGAGTGGGAAAAAAAACAGGTATGTTAATTG